TGAGAAAAATTTATATAATCTTGTTGAGTGCAATAATCGATATAAAAGATAGAATGGGGAGTATTAAAGAAAGGAGAATTTAAAAAAAAATTAAATTAATTTTTTTTTTATTTTGCCCCGTTGTTTGAAGTGTTGTGTTCAAAACCTTGAGATGACCAAGTTCAACATAAAACTTAAGCAATTCAGAGAAAACCATTGTAGAAACCATCAACCAATAAGTTCAAATGCAAACTTATATATTAAGTTAGACATTTTTCTGACATAAAAGATTTAAGAGTATTTTTTCAGTACTTATATATAGATAAATTTGTTTTTATGGCCTATCAACCCCTTATATTTTTTTAAATCCAAACCATATTTTGTATTGTAAGAATAATTATTTTTTACATTAATAGTTTTTAGGCAATAGCAATGATTTTTTTTCTAGATAGAATTTTACAATTTAACCCATAATTGGGGGATCACGCCTGACGAAAGCTGAAGTATGGATCAGGTAAAAATGCTGTGTTAGAAAATATTTTAGAATGGATAGTTTTTGGCAAATTTGCTTTCTCGAACATTCAGGCCGGTAGACGAAAATAAATAAATATACTGTTTAATAAATGAACTTGGGTTAATAGGGATATACCCATTATCGCCCATAGGTTTGCTACAATTTATAGTTTTAAAAAATGTAGGTTATTCCTGATAAAGATTGTATAGAGCCAGTAGATACAATAGATGCCTCATGAACTTTAGCCATCAATGTTCCGTACTTGAAAGCTAAAATTAGTGAAGACGATGTAAACAAACGTATTAGCGACTAGCAGTAGAGCCCGGCGTTGCCCGGGGATGTAACAGTAAGAGATAGATCAAGTATCGACCATCATAAAGACTGAAAAATAAAATTGACAAAGATTATTGTTTAAGGTTGACGGACACGCATGTCTTAATTAGTTTTTTTTTTTTTTTTTTTTTTTGAATTGGTCAAACCCAAATTCAAACAAAAACATTGTTTACAATCGTTATGAGTCTATCGATTGGTGAATAGAATTTTATTATAAACAATTGTCTTGTAAATGGAATTTTTAAAGCATTCTGAATGTAAATAAAGAAAAAAGTGTGCAAGACAATAAGAAATACTACCTACCAAAAAAAAAAAAAAGTGGATGTTTGTTTTATCGGCTGGAAAATGTAAGAAATCCGATCCCATATATAAAGAAACACACACACACGCACACACACGCACACACACACACACACAAACTGGGTTTTTTAGCCTAAGTCACTCCACGGAATCGCTAAAACATAGAGCATAGTCTGAAGAAAAAGACGCTAAAGTTTATGAAAACAAAATTTTATCGTCAAAATGCTTATGTTTTTATGAAGAGGATAGACTAATTTTTTTTTTAATTATTTTTAAAAATTTTTCCATGTTTTTAGAATATTCTAAATTTTGATTTAAAAAACCTTGTTTCTCTTTGTCGCAACAAGGGGTAGTAAATAACATAGATAATTTTTAGCGCGTTTTTTTGTATTTACACACATTAATTTGGAAAATCTTGCAAAAATAAAAATAATTGTCAGATATTAATGAAACTTTCAGAAACTATTCACAGATGATCGAAATTATTATAAATATGTTTTTTTTTTTTTTATTAAAGTCATGGCAGAAATATTTTTTTATATTTATTAACACCCCCATAACTAATTTTATGAAAAACTCTAGAAATTCGAGACCATCGGTTTTAGTGATTACAATAGTCAAAAGCACAAGGCTTTGAAGAATGCAAATCATTTTTTTTATTTTTTTTTTTTGGCCAACGTACCTGAAAATCAGCTGTGAATTGTAACATACAAAACTCAATAAAACAAATATATTATTTAGTTTCAAATGCTTTTATTTGTTTTAATTTGTTTTTTATGAATATGGACAATATTTTCTGAAGCAAAAAATTTTTCAATGAAAATTGAATTTTTAATACAATTATTTGTTATTTCTTTAATTTTAAAAAGATTTTTAAAAAATGTTTAAATTGAATTTAAAAAAAATATTTTAACATTAGTTAAATGCAACATCAACCTTTCAAAATGTCCGTGTGAGATTGTCATTGTCTAGCGCTTTGAAAATTGTATAATTTGGACCAATCAGATTAGACATGGTAATTAAGAAATGTAATTTTTGTGTTTATAGTCGGACAGTAATTATCAAGTACGGAAGACCAACCAGAATACAATTTAGTTGTATTATTTGAGTTCAGCATTGTTCTCCACTGTTAAGCCCTTTACTTTTGCGAAACACGTATGGAGAAGTTAATTTGAGTTTTCAATTTCAACTGAGAAGGGTACCTACAAGTAACAGTATCATCTTATGAAATTTAACTACTGCTAAACTTTAATTTATATGATCTTATTTTTATATTAATCTTAGTTATGACATTTTTCCATAAATGAAATATCAAAATTAATAATAAAATGAATGGAAATACAAATAACATAGTAAAATGTAATAAATGTACATAAAATTATAGTATTTTATGTACACTTCTGATAAAATTTCATAAGAAAGGTACCTAAATTAAATAGATACCTTTTTCTTATGAAATTAATCTCACAGTCTTATTTTTTAATTTCTTTATATTTTCCTTAAAGCATCGTAAACGTAAAAATGAAAGCTAAGTACAAAAAATAAAAAATAAAAAATAAAAAATTAGAGCACTGAAAGTTTTCCTTAAAAGTAACGAGGTAAATAATTTGTTCGCTTAAATAATTTCACTTCCTTCCATCCGTAGAAAGAATTACCCTCCCGTAAGTTTTCTAAACGTCATGAATGTGCCTTTCGTCAATCGTCAAGCGACGCGAAAGGTTATGACCTGCTTTGTTTTATTTTCAAATTACATTTTTTCGGCGCAGAAGCTAAGTTATGCTTGGTTCAAAATATTTTAAATAAACAGTATAATATCTGTTTTTATTAAAATCAGTTTTAAAAAATGATAATTGATTTTTAAAAGAATATCAAAGTAAGATTTTAATCTTTTTTATCAAATCGAAAAAAATGATTGAAAATGATTATCTGTCCTTTTTTTACCAAAAAAAAAACAATATTTTTAACGAAAATTTCATACGTGCTAGGAACGATTAAAAAATGTAAAAAAATACCCCCAAAATAATTTGATCTTTCCTCTTTAATAATAATATGAACATTAGACGATAAAATTTTATTTTCGTCAAGTTCGGCGTCTTTTTCATCATGCTATGCTCATTTGTTTACATTTTCGTGGGTGAGTTGTCCCCCTTTCATTCTTACGATGTGTCTTCTTAATCGTGTTTTCAAATTGATTTTCTTAAAAAACAACTGTGTTTTTCCCATTTTCGGCGCCGTTAGAACCACCAAAAGCTAATTTTATGTAGTCCTGTGAAGTTTTGTTGAAATCGGCTAAAAAATATAGGAAATTTGATCCAACATATAAACGTTACAGACACACACACACACACACACACAACCTGCGTTTTATAATAAGTAAGATGAACAAATATAAAGCAAATGAGACGTTCTGCCTGTGTTGATGGATCCCTAGGTCTGAAGCACATTATATCTTAATTTAATCTTGACGGGCTTTCGGCATCTGTAACCATTAACAAGTCCGTGACTTTGCTTAGATGGATATTTATGGGGCTAGGAAAAAAACTAACCCTGCTCTACGACTAATGTTCCTTCTTTAGTGGAATGAGGGAGAGGCTGCGAAAGAACCGGAATCCCTAGGATTAAGCATCAGTCATAACAAAACAGGAGGTACGGTGGCTCGGATTGAAGAATCGGAGAACCGATTTCGAATTCCAGTCGAATCCATTACATTCACTTAGGTGCTAATACCCTTGGGAAAGGTATGAACCATTTTCTTCTCCCCTCCCCACCAAACTATGGGTAAATAGCAGGACAGACCGGATTCTATAGTCTTGGATGACAACCGGTCTACCGCAGAAAGAAAAATCTGCCTCATCAGTCATGTATCAAAAGATACATGATCGCCTAAGCGTGTATCACGAATGTCACCTAACTGATTGACATAACAAAACTGAAAACAGCCCTAGAGTCAAAATGTGGCAGATTAAGGGAGGACTGATATTACACATTGATCCCAGAAAATCAGGGAAAGGAGCAAAGTGTTTACTCTCCTCCAACTGGTGGTTGAATATGACATAAGATCCGTTTAAAATCAGGTGCACATACGCATATATATAGGCTAAGGACAATAATAATTTAGTCATCGTGTTCACTGTCTATGTCATTTATAAATGCTTGCCGCAGAGTTGAAATCCTTGGGATAAGTTTTTTTTATTTTTTTTATTTTTTTTTAATACTATTTGTCACCCAAGTTCCAAGAGCCACTCAGGGTAGAGGATTACTGAATGAGTTTGTTTTATGGGCGTAAGTGGAGGAAGTAAGAATTATAGATTATGAGGATGTGGGGGTTAGATGAGCGCTGACCCTAGACTTAAGATTGCAGTGACCTGGGAACCTCCGATTCTACAATGAAACAGTTCTAGGGAACAAGTAGTCACAGTGGAACTTCTTCCTTACCAGTAGTATACGGAGGGAATGAGGAAGATTAGACTCTGTGTACGCAGTATGGCGGGTTATAGCTCTAAAGATCTGACAGTTGTCAATCACAAGAATGTAGTCCATCTGAACATTTTCTATGGATATAGCGATAGAATAGCTATTTCTGCGCTAGAAGAAAAACCAATACATTGGACCATGTTCAACAATTAGTTAATGTTTGCAAACACCCTGTTTTAGCTGCAGACTAATTTGCATATTTAGACATGTGCTTTTTAGAAATTCAAATGTGGTGACGCCATAATTTGTTCATCAAAGTGGAATGCATTCCTTAGTCTGGAAACATTATGAATATTTCATGAAGCCAGAATGTTGAACTATTGCACACAGTGCATTTCGTGTCGTATCTGATTGTTTTATTTGAGCATATTTTAAAGGAATCTGGTTGTACCAGAATTGAATGCGGTGATTCTATAACTTTGTTACCACATATTATCGTATACTGGAAGTTGATTATTCACTCAGCCACACTTGATTTAGGCAAGGCATCTCAGTATTAGCTAATGTTTCGTGTGCTAGTCTGCTTGATAAATGTAACTGAGTATTTAGTTCGATTCGCATTGGCTGTCTCATTTTGAGGGGCCTTGCACCAGACAATGCCAAACTTACAAGAAAAATAACACTTGAGGGCCTTGGCGTCGGGTAATGACTCCTGTGCTAGTAAGCTAGTATAGTTGACCATTTTATGAGTAGTGAGGTTGATACATACTTTTCTTCCAAACAGTGTGGTCTTGTGCCAAACTTAGAAAATAACAATCGAACATTTCTTTGTGGTGTAATAACTAGTGAGCTAGTCTGGTTGACCATTACTACTGAGAAGTAAGCATGATGAATCATATGCCCTTGTGCCAGACTTAGAAAATAACAAACGACTGTTTCTTTTTTGGGGGGTAATCACTAGTGAAGTAGTCTAGTTGATCATTACTACAGAATAGTGAGTGTGATGCATACTTGTTGCGCCATTCAGGGTGGCCTTGCGCCAAACTTGGAAAATATCAACCGAGGGTTCTTTTGTGTGATAATAGTGAGTTAATCTTGTTGACCATTATAACTGAATAGTGAGTTTGATGCGCACGGGTTGCACAATACAGAGTGGCCTTGTGCCAAACTGTGCCACCCTTAGAAAGTAACAACTGAGGGATTCGGCGCAGGGTAATGTTTAGTGAGCGAGTCTAGTTGACCATTACTACTGAGAATCGAGTTCGATGCCCACCAGTTGCCAAATACTGAGTGGCCTTGTGCCAAACTATGCCAAACCGAGAAAATCAACCAATCCACCGAGGTTGGAGTTGTCTCAAAATTCTTCATTTCTTCAAAGTCTAGAAAATTACAAAAATAGGAACAAATGTAAGTCCTTTTTTTTTCGCTTTCGTTATTAAAATATCAGATAGCGAGAAATCGAATTCAAACAACGCAAAATTGTATCTAGTTTTGTGAAGGAACTAAATGAAGAAACTAAAGCTATTGAGAATCGGGTTTCTTCGGAACTCACCATCAAAGCAATTTATTCGGCTTTGCTAAAGGGGAGTTTCGAAAAATACCGGATTCTATGAAAGCTACTTTGGAAATCTTAGCCAGTCGCCAAATTCTGTGACCCGCAAATTGATTAAGGTCGCTAATCTACGCTGCGCCTTTGACCAGTGCGCATGGTAAAAGTAGTTCTCCTCTATTTGGGCGGCCAATGGGTTAGGGAGAGGAAAGTTGGAAAACTTCAGGAGGAAGCTATAATCAATTGTTATCGAATTATTTCCTTATTTTATTCAATTACTGCCATTGCATGTTATTGAATTTGTCCCCTGTTTTTTCAGTTATTTAATTACTTTTAAAGCTTCTTATTTAACGACGTCACTTTTCCCTCTTTCTTTCTTTCTTTCATTCTTTCTTTCTTTCTTTCTTTCTTTCTTTCTTTCTTACGCCCGCTAAAGTTTTTCTTTTTTTATTTTCTTTACTCTTTTTTCTTTTTCTTTACGCTCCTATAAGAATTGTTTTCTTTCTTTCTTTATTTTTTCTTTCTTTCTCTCTCTTTCTTCCTTTCATTCCTGTACCATACTCTCCCATAAGAAGCGTTTTTCTTTTTTTTTCTTTATTCTTTTTCTTTTCTTTCTTTCTTTCTTTTTTCTTTTCTTTTCTTTCTTTCTTTCTTTCTTTCTTTCTTTCTTTCTTTCTTTCTTTCTTATCTCACACTCCTATTAGTATTTTCTTTCTTTATTTATTTATTTCTTGTTCCTTACGCTTTCATACGGAGCGTTTTCTTCTTTCTCTTATCTTTCCTTCATTCTTTCTTTCATTCATTTTTCTTTCTTTCCTTCGCTTTCAGAAAGTCTTTTCTTTTCTCTCTTTCTTTCTTTCTTTCTTTTTTCATATGTTCACCGCCTTTTTTTTTCTTCCATCTCTTCAGGACACCTTTATTTACTTTAACTGTCTGTCCTCATCACCGCTTCTATTAACTTATTTCTTTCTATCTTCCTTCCTTTCCTTCTTTATCCCTTCTAATTTTTTCTTTCTTTCTTCCCCGATCCCATTCTCACCCTTCCACCCTAATTTTGAAGTATGGTTTCATTTCCCTCCCCACTATTCACTTATTGTCTGTCTTCCTCTCAACAGAGCCTTATTCTTTTCTTTCTTTGTCATTTCTTTCACCGCGCATGAGTAACGTTCACTATACTGTTTCTATTTATTTTTTTTTATGACATCTTTCATTGTTCTAAGTTTTTTTGTTTTGTTTTGTTACATTACTTTAATCGTTCGTGTACGCCATTGCTTTTAACTTACTGCCCTTTTCTTAATGGTTTCATCGTTAAACCTGTTTTTTAAATCGTTTCTACTGAGAATCAGGAAAAGACAACGGAAACTCCTCAGGCATAATGAAGAAGAAGGGCTCAGAAAACTTAACCCTCACGTGGCATATTAATTGCAGGATAGATGGGGGAAGGCCGTGAGCCACTTACCTGAAAAGATTGTGTGTGAAAGAAAGGTAGAATGAGGATCGGGAGGTATAGGAAGTTGCGGAGAGCTATGGTCGCCTCTTTCCTGAAAAGACGAGAATGAGAAAAACAAGTGCCTAGTTTTATCCGATATTAATATTCCTTACGTTTTTTCTTAAGCTCTATCATCTATTCTCCACTATATTAATGCAGTTCTCGGTTCGATACTTAATGGCTGACCCATAGGTGTGTCCCTCTACCAGACTAATCTTAGCTTAGAAAATATCAAGTAGAAGATATCAACTTTGATCACCATGGTTTTTTTTTCTGGCTGGGGCGCACAGTGAGAATCTATTGTAAAGTAGCTAGCACCCCTTCAGAACTCTACCAGATTCCCTGGCTGATAGCATTATATACTCTACGATTAAAGACTTCAACAGTTGATTAATATTCGGCCAGATCTTACTTCGTTTGGCTATACAGCATTTGACCCTCCTTTATTCCTTGTAAGTTGTCTTGTTAATTGTTCTGTGTTTTTTGTATGTATGTATCCGTTACCACCAAATACTGGTGCTGAATAATTAAGCACTCATTCTTCTCTCTGTATCATTGTATTTAATATCCCACCCACGAGGAATATATGTGGCACGAGGCCAAGATTAAAGTGGGTTTCTCCGAGCCCCGTAGGTGCAGCCAAAAATATACCCTTTGAACCCGCCTAGACGGGTTCAGGTCCTGTCTACCTCCCCGGACGAAACCCTGCCCTTCAGCAAAGCGTCGTCCGGGTTCCTCTCTGCCAAAGCAGAGAGTTCAGCAGTCATGAACTGGTGCTCGTTACACCATTCATTTTTTTCTCTCCGTATCATTCACCTCGACGATACAAGAGAATCGATGTCACTACTAAGTTGGGATTGTTCTAGCGAGACAAGCTTGCTAAACATTACACCACGCCAAGGTGTCCCTCGGGAATTGATTACGACTAACTTAATATTCCTCGTTTTCATTCCCTCTCTAGCACATATTACAGGTTCGATATATTAACTTATATCTAAATGCCTTTGGGAAAAGGTATGGATGTACATAATGTCTTCACTACCAAGATCTGTGTTATTTAGTTGGACTTGTATCAGTAAATCATTGTTGTCGCCAAAAGATTGTTACAATAGCAAAATATTTTTTCTGCCTTTGAACAACCTGCAAAAACTGTTGGTAAGACGTAAAAAAGCAGATCAGTCAATCAATCCGACTAATTTTTGCTTACCAGATCCGATCTGTTTTCAGAAAGCTTTATTTATTACTAAACTACCCGAGACCCTGTCTGTTTGAAGAAAGTTGAAATAAAAATACTTAATGTATAAACAACTCATATTTTTAATCTTATTCAGTTGAAAATATTTTTTAAATATGTTAAAAAATATTTTTTTTTTAAGTATAGCAAAAAGTATTCTTTTAAATATGGCAAAAAATATTTTTTGAATGTATAAAATATTGTTTGGTTAAAGAAAGCAAAATATAAATAAGCACGCATGCAATCACGGGAAGGTGGAAAGATAGAGGTTGAAAGACTGAAAGGTGGAGAGAGAGAGAGGTGGAAAGAAAGAAAGGTGAAAAGAGCGAGGTTTAAAGACTGAGAGGTAGATAGAGAGAGAGGTTGAAAGACTGAGAGAGATGGAAAGACAGAGATGTGGAAAGAGAGAGAGGTGGAAAGTGAGAAAGGTGGAAAGAGAGAGGTTGAAAGTCTGAGAGGTGGAAAGAGAGATAGGTGGAAAGAGAGAGGTTGAATGACTGAGAGAGGGAAAGAGAGAGATGTGGAAAGAGAAAGAGGTGGAAAGACTGATGGGTGGAAAGAGAGAAAGGTGGAAAGAGAGAGAGGTAGAAATGAAGAGTGATGGAAAAAGAGAGGTTGAAAGTCTGAGAGCTGGAAAGAGAGATAGGTGGAAAGAGAGAAAGAGGTGAAAAGAAAGAGAGGTGGAAAGAGAGAGGTTGAAAGACTGAGAGGTGGAAACAAAGAGAGGTGGGAAAAAACTTAAATCATTATGCGTCCGATGGCCGACGTACGCACGATTCACAGATTGTTGGTAGTGTTATTCCAAGCGTAGCTTGGATGTGGCACAAGGCCGAAAGTATGGTGTACCCAGTGAGAATAGGATTCACTACTCAGTCGTAATTGTTCTAGCGATACAAGCTTGCTAACCATTACACCGCCTCGAGGTACCCTTCACAGACTTTTAGTATTGTATAGTTTCATGTCAATTAATCTGTTTCTTGATTAGGTCTTTTTTTTTTCTTATTAGTATCCTGCTTATTCTCTGTGTCCACAAGAGTTTTAATCTCTCGTTCTCCTCCTCTTTTTCAGACCTTTTATTCATTGCCTCGTCTCTTTCTCTTTTAAAGCGTCATCTTCCAATTATGCTTTAACTCTTCTTCCACGCATTACCTCTTTTTCCCGCCCCTACTTTCCCGCGTTAATTTGCTGGCAGACGAGAGCATTTGTTGTTTTTCCCGCCTTTTTTCTCTGACATCACTCTTTTCCGTCACTGTTTAACTTTTAAATGCTCAACATTTTCACATTTCGGCCTTTCTTAGCGATTTTTTAAAATCATTTTGAAACAGTTCTGCGCATTTTGACAAAAAGAAAAAAAAAAAAAAAAACTCTCATCAGATTTAATTTAATTTTGCGCCAAAAATGTCCGTCTCCTCTTCGGCTATTTGCATTTTTTTTTTCATTTCCATGATTCAGTGCCTTGCTTTATTTGTCGCCAGATATTTTTTTTTTTTTGCTCTGGAGTCCACAACACAATCACCAATTACTCAGACATTTCATTTTTATACATCATCTTATTTTCATTACTATTATAATTTTTTTTTTCATAGAGTTAATGCATTGTATATTTCATTACTCTGTTGCGGGAGAGAAGTGTGACTTTTCCCCAAACATTCATCATTAATTATGTTAACAAATCTGTAAAAAAAAAATAAAAAATAAAAAAAAAATAAATCCGGAAAACAGAAGAAAAAATACTTGATTAAAAACAATAGGCGAAATATCTGTGTCGAAACAGTCTCTTAAAATTCAGGTCAAACTCTCTCCCATATGCGTTTCTTTATTTCTACCCCTGTATGTCTTAACCATGTTCTTTAAGAATGTGCGGACACATCAGTCAGTTAAGTGCCATATATGATACACGCTCGGGCGATCATTTATCTTTCGATATATGATAGGCAGATTTTTCCCAACAGTAGGTTGTCATTACTTTCTTTGGTAGACTGTTTGCCAACCCAGTCTGTCCTGCTATTCAACCCATACCTGGAGGAAGAAGATATGAGTTCATACCGTTCCCAAGTGAATCTAACGAACACGTCTTGATTTCGAACCCATCTCTCCGAGTTCTCACTCCAAGCCAATATCCATTACACCATATTTTCTGTCTTAATTCTTTAGGGTGAGATGTTATCATTATTTACATGCGGGCAAATATCCACATATTTGTTGTTATTATCACAACGTTTCGGCCATTGTGCCTGCCGGTCTTCATCAGGTGCCTGTTGACCCGGGTAAACTTTATGAAATTTCGAACGGATCCCATTATTTAATCTTGTAGCGATATCAGTTGCCAGCTGATATCTTGCTAAGGATACCACTGAAGGTTGTTACAGAAATCGTTTTGACAATTATCTTAACAAAGAAGGACAGCTGAGTGAAGTGGACCTCACAAGAACCAGATCAAACGACCCTGAAAAAGTAGGCCAGCCGAGTTGAACGGACATGAGGAAAGCTTACGGGACAAGGAGCAGTTGTCTCTATAAGACAGTGGCCCCTAGCAGCCTAAAAACAGAGAACCGTTCGCCTTCGACACAAAAAGGAAGGCACGTGCCGATTAGACAGCTCACCTCATCGCGCTTAACTCTGCCTTGTTCATCTACAGCTGGCCCTATCGAGAAGGTTGCAACAGAATAAAATTTGCCAATTGCTACAATTTTGTATCATGGTTTTACTTCGTGGCTGACGATCCGACGAAATAATTATTTTCTTTTCATTAGACCATTTGAATCGAACATGTTGCACGGTGTGCCTGGTTTAAGTCGCAACGCTACAATCTATTTATGTAGTATGTTCGCATTCCGATGAAACGTCTGCTGATATATCGACTAGTTGTTACTTTAGTACTGAGGCGAATATGCAATATGATTGGCCCTGATCCGGCATCTCGTTTACAGTCGCTCTCTCACAGACGTGCTGTCGCCTCCCTCTGTCTTTTCTACAAATACTTTCACAGTATCAGTTCCCGAACTGCATGAATTTGAACGTGCCATTAGGTCGGCATCTCAGTCCCACCCTTTCACTGTTGAAATTGTTAAATGTAACCGTCTCTTCTACTCTAATAGCTTCATGTCTTGCACTTCCCTACAGTGGAACTCCATTCCTCTTACTTGCTTCCCTGATTGCTATAATCAATAACTATTCAAAAGCAATGTCAATCGACATCTCAAGATATCTTGATCTATTCCCCGTCCTTCTCTTCATCCTTTTATCTTTCACATCTCTTTATTCTTGCTCCAACTCTCTGTAACCCCTTGCGTGCTTGTGGTACTCTCCCCCATTGATTGGGGTGAAGACTTAAAAAATAAAGGAGGATTGAAATTACATAAAGTTAACATAAACATAAAGGCTCAGCGTGCTTTTTCATAATGAAAATTTTATGTTTCTTTATACTTCATTTAGATTTCTAAAGACTTCTTTTCCCATTCCAATGCGTTTTCGTATTTCTAAGTCTCGTTTTCCGTCTCGTTTTCCGTTATCTGTTAAAACATCCCCGATATATATATATATATATAATAAAAAGACAAAACCCCCCAAAAACAGAAATATATATATATATATATATATATATATATATATATATATATATATAAAAAACCAAAAAAGAAAACAGAAAAAACAACTCCGGATATAAAAAATAGAATTTAGAGAGAGTGTAGAAATTCTATTTTCTATTCCCGGAGTTGTTTTTTCTGTTTTCTTTTTGAATTTGTAGATCTGATGAATTGGATCGTATTTACGATTCCAATGGAATAAATTATGACCATGGAATATTAGTGTGTTTAAGCCTTTTATTATATCCTTTACTCTGTCCTGGACATTGAGTTCTACCTGGATTCTATCCTCTTGAATTTTTTATTCAAAAAATATATATGTATGTGCATGCATGTATGTATATATATTTATATATTTTGCATATGTATGTGTATATTTACCACTAATATTATCTATCTATCTATCTATCTATCTATCTATCTATATATATATATATATATATATATATATATATATGATTTTGATATCTCTGCTTCTTTTGATATTTCCATTGCTAGCAATTATGGATTGCATCCTTTTGTAATTGTTAGTTAGTACCTTTCTTGCCGGTTAACATTATTATCTCGTCCATTTTTGTCATCTATCCGTGTTTTACCTATTTACTTTTACGTTGACATATTTCATATTATCATCTAAATATTCCGACATTTTGGTGTGCGTTATTTTATATTTTTTATTCGGTCGAGTTAACCCAGACATTCATGAGTCTTTCATGCTCCTGCATCAAGGACCGAAGTTCATTAGGGTGGCATTCTGGCATAGTGATGAGGGATTGCTCGGGGACCAACCCGTAAGGGGCCATGGCTAGGTGCCAAGAGCAGAAGATGTTTTGCTTGCCAGCAGTGGGGATGCAAAGTGCATTCTGTGTGCACGTAACATTGTACAATTATCAGGGATGGGTTCATAGACCTGAGATTTATTTGGAAGTTGTCTCCAAGAGATATTAAGTATAACTCTCAGCATCCGCTAAGCTTAGACTCTCAGGTTTTAGTTAATGTTCAAGCAGTGGCATCATAGATTAAAACCACCTCTACAATGGCGCGAAAGAACCTCTGTTTGATGTTGTCTGGCAGATCAGATTTACAGATTACAGCTATTTTATTTAAGGCAGCTCAGGCTTTAGCTATGCGAATGTTTCACATCCTTTTCAGTTGAATTTATTTCACTTCCGAGGTATGTGAAAGATTCGACATATTTTATTGATTTACCTAAGACAGTTTGTATTGGGCCTTGCTGGTTATGGAGGATTACTATAAGGAGTATGAGATTGCTAGGGTTTACTACGAATTGAGATGAGTTGAATAAACAACTACGGCTGACAAGACATCAGGCTGGACTTCCTTTGACTTGCGCCAAAGGGCATTTTTCATTAATCACTTTCAAACTTATCTGTGTTAAAGTTTAAAAGGGAGATAAGTCGTTGGGGTGTCAATAAACACTTTCGTTTAGTACAGAGTAAAAAATACATGAGTGGGTATGGCAATGTTGAAAAGGAAATGTAGTATATATATATATATATATATATATATATATATATATATATATATATATATATATATATATATATATATATATATATATATATATATATATATATATATATATATATATATATATATAAGTAGATATTGAAGTCAACACCCAGTGGCAACAGTCTGTTTTATGCTAAACAACGTAATCGTCAGGCCATGTACGTTGAGTGTTTGCTCGACTTTTTATATATACAGCTCAGTGATGCATTGTGGGTAGTTTATTGCATTGTGGGTATTCTATTGATTTATTATAACGGTGGCTTTTGTGGGCAGGATTTCTTAATTTGTTTATTATTTACTTAGTTTATTTACTTATTTATTTGTTTGCATTAATTTATTTTACTTTTTTTGTTTATATATAAAATCTCACCTCAGTTGATTAGTCAGAAAATAGACTTCCTGATGTTATTCGTCCGGAAAGGGATGATCCCAGCGTATGGCACCTTTTGGAAAATGTCTGGGTTGAACCAAGAATTGTGAGTGAAATTGGGTAGAGGGGAAAGTCGATGGCTGTGCTAGTATGATGTCATATGCCATCGTGACCGAGGGTTTGTGTTTGCTGGCCTTGTTTAGATTGATGTTCACGCTCTAGATGCCAAAAATTGTATCTAAGGTCTGATCAGCATAGTTGCAGTATAAACCACAGGTGGGCTCTGTGGGTGTTGAACAAATAGAAATGTGTCTGAGCGAGCGTGTGAATTAGGGATTGTCTAGCCACTCTAGTAGACGGGTATCCTCGAATACGATTTTATTATTATATATATATATATATATATATATATATATATATATATATATATATATACGTGCAATCACAGAAGTTAAGAAACGTGGAAACTGGTCGGTACTTAGACGGGTGACCGCTTGGGAATACCATGTGATATATATTTGGATGTGCGGATGGTGTTATGGATTACGGCTCGGATTTGGGAATCGGAGAACCGAGTTCTAATTCTAGTTACGTTCGTTATAATCATATACACGCAATTACCCTTGGAAAAGGTACGAATTCCCCTCTTTTTCCAGTCAGCTTTGGGTTCATTAGTAGAATTTTTATCAGTAAAATTTGATATTATTTCTACAAATCCTTTTAAATGAATTCAATTTAGAATTCAGGCGCTGTACGAAATTACTGAATTTTACGGTTGCAGGAGCTAGATGTAACAGAAATTTCTATTGTAATAGTTTCTTTTCTCGCACTTCTTGCCTGTTGAACTCTCTTCCGGTGACTTGCTTCTCTGTCACCTGCGAACTTGAAAAAATCTAAGTGAAACGTCAATCGCCTTTTATCTTCCAGAAATCTGTTCTTTTATCGACGCTAATTTTTTTCTCATTTCCTTTCATTCTCAGTAATTGCTTGCGTCTTAGTGGAATTATCACCTTGCTTGTAGCGAAATGATTCAGAAGAAAGGATAAAAGGTAACGATGGGTAAAATATACGAATGAGATAATAATGCAAATTAGTACAATATTATTATTATCATTATTATTATTGCTATTATTATTATTTTATTTCCTTTGATTCCTGATGTGTACTCATTTCTTTCCGGGTCCCGGCCAGGGACCTAAGGTTAGAAATGGCATGATGACGTTTTCCACTGCAAAAAAAAAAAAAAAAAAAATTACATAGACAAAGCCCTTCGTAAGGTGTGGGTTGTATTCGTTAGAACAATTTTTGTATTTCTTTAAGGTATGGGCTTCCAGGATCCCTTCAATTAGTCTACTGCAATCTTTTCCAGCCAATCCGAGGGTTCCAACTACAACGGGGATTGTTGATGCTCCCATGTGCCACATTTTTGAGATTTCGATTCATTATTATTATTATTATTATTATTATTATTATTATTATTATTATAATTATTAGATAATTATATATATAATATATATATATATATATATATATATATAATATTATATATTATATTATATATAATATATATCATGAATTACATAAATATATATATTATATAATAATATTATATATATATATAATATATTTATCAATATTAATATCAATATTATTAGTAATATTAGTAATAATTAGTATAATAATACAAAGTACTATTAAGATGAAAACAGTTGGTGCGCCTATTGAACATTTATGAAATCGATTATAAAATCTACATCCCTTTTGAATATCTTGTTCAAATTTTTGTAAATAAATCTTATTATTTAAAATAAAGCCATTTTAATTTCGTTTACCTAGGAAATTGTAGTTACTCAGATATTCACATTGAAGCGTGTCAATTTTTGGTGGAGTCACCCTGTGTATTTATTTCCCGCGTATTAATATTTGTTTCATGACATTTGACGTCCTTGCATTGTTTTGATATTTGACTTGCACTTTGTTAGCGGTCAGTGTAAGAGTATAAGTGGCGCCAAAACAACTTGCATGTGGATAATGAACGCACTAAAATAGAGACAATAATACGTTTTCTCCCTGGAATTATTTAACCTCTACGACCTAAACGAGTCTAGGAGTACGCGAGGACCTTAATCCGCGCCTGTATTTATTATCAACATGGATTACATGAACAACATAACATAATGATATTGTGCTGATTCCGGAGTGAAATAGGCAAAGAAAGATTAAATAGTGAATTTAAAAAAAAAAATGTTTAAGCGTTAAGAAACTTGTGAAGAAAAATGAAAAAAAAATGATAGAAATATTTTAAGAGGTAAACAAATGAAAAAAAAAATTAACAAGAAATTAATTAAAGAGCGAGAGACAAAAGCGAATGAAAAATTATAGAAAATAAGGGATAAATTTGAGTGATGAAAACGTAAAAATAAATGGGAGAGATAAAATGAATGAAAGAAGGAAAAAAATAAAGAATGAAAAATATGAAAGATAAAATTTTGCCGTGCGTCTCGAAAAGGACCTCCAATCGATTGTGAACTGGGGCATGAATTGACTGGTCAACTTCAACGCTTCGAAGACAAAACTGCTCTCTATTAATCACCACAGAGAGCCTTCCTTTCCTCCATTAGAATGTCTGACGCTCAACTTCTCGAGAGCAACTCTCTGCGGCTTCTCGGTCTCACGTTGACTGCTGACCTGAGATGGAATAAATACATCGAGTCAATTGCCTCGTCCACTGCGAGGAAAGTTGGCTCCTGAGCCGCGCTAGGAAGTTTTCTCCCTGAGTCGATCCTCCAGATATACAAATCCACAATTCGCCCTTGCATGGAGTATTGCTGCCATATATGGTCTGGTGCCCCTTCTGTTTGCCTCGGGGTTCTTGATAGACTCCAGAAGCGGATATGCAATATGGTTGGCCCTGCCCTGGCGTCTCGTCTACAGTCACTTTCTCACAGACGCACCGTCGCCTCCCTCTGTCTGTTCTACAAATACTTTCATGGAAATTGCTCCGAGGAGCTGCATTCGCTGGTTCCCAGACTTCATGAGTTCAAGCGCCCTACGAGGCTGGCATCCCGCTCTCACCCCTTCACTGTCGAAACTCCCTAAATGTAGCCGTCTCTTCTACTCTAATAGCTTCATGTCTCGCACCTCTCGTCTGTGGAACTCTCTTCCCTTCTCCTGTTTCCCTGTGAGCTATAATCTCCAGCTATTCAAGTGTAATGTCAATCGACATCTCCAGTTGCCCTAATCTATCTACTACCCTCATCCTATCTTCTATCACTCCTATCTGATCTTCCTATTTTCTGTAACCCCTTGCGTCCTAGTGGCTTCCCGCCTTGCTAGGGGTGAAATGTTAAAAAAAAAAAAAAAAAAAAAATGAATTAATGAAAGATCAAATTAAGATTGAAAGAAAGTATAAGAGAAAAAATGAGTGAAACAGCAAATAAAGAATTAAAGAAAATCTGAGAGATAAAAATAAAGGAATGAAAGATCAAATTAAGATTGAAAGAAAATATGAGAGAAAAAAAAGGAATGAAAGAAGATGAAATAAAGAATGAAAGAATCGATGACATAAAATGAATGAAAAAAAAATACAATAAAGAATGAAAGAAAACATGAATGATACTAAATGAATGAAAGAAATCAAATAAAGAATGAAAGAAGATATGTGTACAAAGAGAAACGAATGAAAAAAAAAATGAAATAACGAATTAAAGAAAAATTGTGAAAGATAAAAACGAAGAAATATATAGTAAAGCATTCACGAAAGATGGTAGAAATGAAAATGAATGAAAGAATGGTCAAATAAAGAATGAAATAAAAATATCCGATAGAAATGAATGGAAAGAAAAACTCAAATAGTGAATGAAAGCAAGAAAAAAGCGCAAGTAAGACAAAAAAAGAAAAATGAAAGAAACAAACAAAAGAAAGAAGTGAATGAAAAAGCCCACGGAAAAGATGTGAAAAATAAGAAATCTTTCGTATAAAATGCATTTAAAATTTCCCCTGGGAATAGCCAGAAAATAGGTACAGGACTGCGAAGATGCATCTGTCGGGAGGAAATTCCAAAGAAGAGAATATCTTACAAGAACATATATACTAATCTATCAATGCTTGTTCTTCAAATAGGACCATCAGGCAAACAACCAACTTTGTAAATACCTGTACTCATATGCATTAAATTGAACTAATCTTAAATAGGTAGTGTGCCAGTATTCAAAAGATCCCTAATGAGAAACGAGCTTTGCATTTCAGAAACTTTAAACAAGTTTTATTCTAAAAGGTGTCACCAATTTCTCTGTAAATTTTTTTTTTAGGCATTTCACCCCTAGCAAGGCGGGAAGCCACTAGGACGCAAGGAGTTACAGAGGATTTGGAACGAGAGCAGGTAGGAATGATGGAGGAAAGGATGAGGAGAAGGATAGTGGATAGATCAAGGCAACTGGAGATGTCGACTGACATTACATTTGAATAGTTGGAGATTATAGTTATCAGGGAAACAGGAAAAGGGAAAGGAGTTCCACAGGCGAGAGGTGAGAGATATGAAGCTATTGGAGTAGAAGAGGCGACTACATTTAACACTTTCTATAGTGAAAGGGTGAGAGCGGGATGCCAGCCTCGTAGGAGCAATTACCATGAAAGTATTTGTAAAAAAGACAGAGAGAGGCGACGGTACGTCTGTGAGAGAGCGACTGCAGACGAGATGCCAGATCAGGGCCAATTATTTTGCATATCCGTTTCTAGATCTTATCAAGAACCCCGATGCAAACAGTAGGGGCCCCAGACCATATATGGCAGCAATACTCCATGCAAGGGCGAATTGTTGATTTGTAGATCTGAAGGATAGATTCCGGGGAGAAAAATTTCCTGGCGCGGCACAGTGAGCCAACTTTTCTTGCGGTGGACGAAGAAATTGACTCAATGTATTTCTTCCATCTCCGAGCAGCCACAGAGAGGCGCTTTCGGAAAGTTGTGCGTCAGACATTCTAATGGGAGGCAGGGATGGTTCTCTGTGGTGATTAATAGAGAGCAGATTTGTTTCGGTGGCGTTAAAGTTAACCAGCCAATTCCTGCCCCAGTTCACAACCGATTGGAGGTCCTTTTCAAGACGAACGACCAGGTTAGTTTTGTCAATGACACTAGATTTGTTTTTGAGGCATGAGTAAATTGTAGAGTCGTCCGCGTAGATGCCCACATAGGAGTCAATGGCGTCAGGAAGATCATTGATGAAGATAAGGAACAGAGTAGGGCCTAGGATGGAGCCTTGAGGAAAACTGCGTTCGTGGGATAGGAGCTGGAGGAGAATCTGTTGAAAATGACCTTCAATTCACGGTTTGACAGAAATGACTGTATTAGGTCAAACAATCGACCTGTAATACCATAACCCTGGAGTTTACGAAGAAGGCCGACATGCCAAACCCTATCAAACGCTTTGGAGATATCTAGAGCCACGGCACGAGCTTCTCCGTTATTCTGAAGAGCTTGGTAGACAATTTCAGTAATGGCTGGTTTAGGTTTAATTTTTCGATCTTTGTAAGTCATCATGTGTAATTCTGGTTGGAAGATGAGAAGGCCTGAAGTAAAAGAAGCAGTCGGTTACCTGAAGTATAAGAAACAGACAGTTATCAGCCGTGACGTGGGCAGAGAGAAGTTGGCAAACCCTGCATCATAATGTGGCCTCAGGGTTGCGCACCGGAAGTGACTGCAGGGACAAATTTCCATGCGGGACATGGCACTACATACACCCCGGAATTATGCAACTGTTGACCAGAGTAGCCGCTGAAGACGCTACGCAAGAGTTAGGGCTCCTAACTACCAGTCAGAAACAGCAACCAGAGAACTGTCAACCATGTACCCTCAGAATGAAGAGGTGATGCCACAGACTGCACACATCACGGGAGAAACACGGCAGAACGTTCGCAATCTGATCATGAGATCCGGGTTCGAATCTCACCATGGCCGTAACATAAGGTACCGATTCCAGTGTGCAGCACATTTGGAAAGTGCCTAAAAAACGACACTAACGATTGACCCAAGCCTTGTGAGTTAAATTGGGTAGACGAAACGCTTGACCACGAAATCAAATGTCATGATCAAATTGTTGATCAGCATATTTCCAGTACAAGCCACAGGGTTTGTGTCGAATAAACACAAATGCGCCTGAGCAAGCGTTTGTAATAGGGATTTCTAGCACTCCATAGTAGACTAGTATCCTCGAATACGAGTGACCAGCTATAGTATACTAATGACCTATGAAATGAAATGAAATACGCTCGGGGTTGTAACATTAAAATGCATCTGGAAGGCACTGTCTCTGACATTACAGTCACATACAATCACGCGCAAATATGGATATTTCTTTTTTCAATTTGCCGATCCATAGATTTTCGGACAAGATTATTTTCGGACCGTGAAGATAAATAAAATCAAAAGAAAGCCAAATAATAGCTTATCTTTCGGAAAGACATTGTAGAATCATTGATTCTGGTTTGTTCTTTTTTTAAAATCTATTATCTCTTTTGTTATTTTCCTTGTGAACATCTTAATTGTCACTTAAGTGCTATACTTGATAGACACTTGCGCGATCACGTCTTTTTCGATTCATTACTGACTAGGCAGACTGACGATACCGTGTTGTTGTTTCATTCTGCGGTAAACAGTTTGCCAACTGTTGTAGCACACCTACGGAAGATAATGGGTATGTTCCCATTCACATAAAGAAAGTATAAATACTGTATGTTGGTCTGCAGTTGGAGATTGGTCTCCAGCTTTACTGGTCAAACTCTCTGCCTCCGGGCAGAGAGGATCCTCACACCATGCTACGTTGAAAGGCAGATACTCGTCTCCGGAAACAGCTACCCGGTCCCGTTTTATACGGGGTTTACGGGGAATTTTTGGCCGAGCCTACGGGCTCGAATACCCCACATCTGACCGCGTGGGTCGGTTGGTAGATATCCTGCAGTTGGAGAGTCATTGTGGAATTCACTTGACTCACTCCTAGCAGTTGACTACTTCTTTTACGCGCCACTGACCTATCTTATATATATTGTTCTTGTATTAAGTATTATCTTTCATTACCAAACTTGGCGTGATTATTCTATTCAGTAACCTTCCCTAGGTTTCAACACCACCCAAGGCCATAGAAGCAAATCTGTCCTGCTATTCAAGCCGTAGAAGCTGGGGTAGAAGAGACCCATTCTTACTTTTCTCAAGGGTATTTGCACGTAAATAAATAGCGAACCCGACTGTAATTCGAACTAAGCTCTTTGATTTTTAATGTTTCAAAAACATTTTATCTTATTAGTCATTTATGTTATTTACATTATTATTATTATTATTATTATTATTATTATTATTATTATTTTTTTTGATTTCTGGCGTTTACACATTTCTTTCCGGGTCCTGCTTGGGACCTAAGGTTAGAAATGGCGTCATGACACTATCCACTGACAAAAAAAAAATTACATAGATAAAGCCCTTCGTAAAGTGTAGGCTGTACTTGTCAGAACAATTTTTTATATCTCCTTGAGGCATGGACTTCCAGGAATCCCTTCAATTAGTCTACTGCAATCTTTTCCAACCAGTGCTAGGGCTCCAACTACAACAGGGATTGTTGATGTTCCCATCTGCCACATTTTCGAGATTTCTATTTCAAGGTCCTTGTATTTTGACAGCTTTTTGAATATCTTCAAAGATACATTGCAGTCAGCAGGGACTGCCATATCAATAAGGAGGCACCGTTTCTGTTTGTGGTCTTTAATAACAATATCTGACCGATTGGCCTTGATTGTTCTGTCAGTGTGTATTGTGTAATCCCATAGAATTGTAACAGGTCCTATCTCCGTAACCGGGTCTGGGTGGTGTTCATACCAGTTTCTTTCAGTTTCCTTCCCGTAGAAGTTGCAGATTTTCCAGTGCAGATATTGGCCCACTCTGTCATGTCGGGTTTTATATTCAGTGGGTGCCAACATCGTGCAACCTGATACAAGATGATCAATCGTTTCTGGATATTTATCACAGAATCTGCATTTTGGGCTGACGTAATATTTTAGTATATGTGCTTGATAATTCCTAGTTAGCAAGCATTGGTCCTGCGCAGCAAGGATAAAACCTTCAGTTTCCGCTTTCAACCCTGCATTACGTAGCCACTGATAGGTACGGGTTTTGTCTACGTTAGCTTGTTTGGTACGGGCAGAGTATTGGCCATGAAGCGGTTTATCTTGCCATCGCTTCTGTATCTGGTCGGTTGCATTCGTCTTTGCTGACTTTTTAGGTATTTTGCAGTTTCAGCTGGTGTATTGTGCTGTAGTTGCATCTCTACGTCCATTTGAAACTCCATTTTGAATTTGTTGGCTTCTTTCATTATGGAGTAAAGACGCTTACTACTTTCATGTTCCTTGACGCATGCCATCATCCAGTCTTCTGTAGTTTCCAAGTATTTTTGGAGGCCAATTGTTGTAGTTTTGTAGGACAGTTCTAGTTGAACTAATCCTTTGCCTCTTTCGGATCTGGGCACATACAGACGATCAACATCAGCTTTGGGGTGATGCATGCGATAGCAAGTGAGAAGCTTTCTCGTTTTGGCGTCCATTCGCTTAATTTTAGCTATGGTCCAGTTAAGGACATTAAAGCTGTTCCAGTTCCCTAATCTTTGTGACAAAATCTAAATCTATTAGGGGTGTTTCTGTAATTCTACCTTTTTTGAATGTTACTTTTGCACATTTATCTAATCCGAAGTCCATACCTATGTCGTCACTGAAGTATTTTACAATATTGAGGAGGCCTTTGAACTCATTATCGTCTTTGGCAAAGAGTTTGAGATCATCCATGTAAAGTAGGTGATTGAATATTTTCTTATTTAATTTGTAACCATAGCTACTGTTGTTCAGTTCATGTGTAAGAGGGATTAAGGATAAACAAAACAGAAGGGGTGACAGAGAGTTCTTGAAAGATTCCACGTCGGATATTCAGACGGTTGGATATGGCAGTTCCCCCGGTGTGACTAAGGTATAGTTTGGTGTTCCACATTCCCATGCTGTGCTTAGAGAAATTTAATACCACAGGGGAGACTTTGTACATTTCCAAAGTCTTAAGGATCCAAGAATGTGGAACACTATCAAAGGCTTCACGATAATCAATCCACGCTGCACTAAGATTTCTGCGTCATCTTCTGTAATTTTCCAGGATCATCTTATTTATCAGAAGTTGATCTTTGCAGCCATATAAACCTCTTCTGCATCCCTTCTGTTCCAGCGGGAGAATGCTGTTTGTTTTGAAAAAGGAATAAGTACGGTTCGTCAGTACAGACGTGATCAACTTATAAGTTGTGGAGAGACATGTTATCAGTCTATAATTTTTCGGGTCGTCTGTTTCAGTTGTTTTTGGTATGAGGTGTGTAATACCTTCAGTAATCCATTCCGGGATTTTATTGGGATTATTTACAAGCGTTGATAATGTTTTTTCAAGAATTTCATGGGTAGATGAGAGATGATACAGCCAGAAATTGGGCAACTTGTCATTTCCTGGGGATTTCCATTTTTGGGATTTCGTTAGAGCTTGCCTAATATCATCTGTGGATATATTTTCCCATTCTTGCAGAGGTGTATCCAGCAGTCGTTCTTCTTCACGCCGTATCCATTCTACATTTGGGTTATATTCCTTTGGGCTGCTCCAGATATTTTCCCAGAATGTCTGTACATTATCAATCGAGGGTGGCCTTTCGACATGTATAGGTGTTTTTCCAATTTTTCTGTAAAATTTCTTAAGGTCTGTTCGGAATATTTTATTTTGGCGATAGAATCTACAACGTTTTTTGTATCGTCTTGTTATCTGCGCCTTTAGCTGAAGTTTCTGCTTCAACATTTCCTTGATTGATGGAATATCAATTAGGGATTTAATGTTATATTTCCGCTTGATCTTTTTGCATTTACGTGTGGAAATATTAGGGTTTCTGGTGAGCTCATCTAATATAGAAAGCTCACATCTGATTTGTTTTATTTCTCGTATCAGTTTGGTTTTCCAAGCTGGTTCTCTGTGTCTGTTAATTTTATTTATTGTATTGACCCCAAGCTTCCGAGTCGCTGCTAAAGCTGTTGCCTATATGACGGTGTTAACTTCTGTGATGTTTCCCGGTGGTTTATCTGTTTCCAGAGCAGCAGTGTATATTTTCACGATGTGCTTGTTGGAATTCGTCATATGGATTTTCGGGTGCTGGTCTCTGTCTGACAATTGTATGAAAGTTTCTCTGCTGAGTACTTTGATGACGTCATTTTTCGCTTTGGTGATTTCAGCTTCGTGGTTTTCAAGGAATTCTAACTTATTGTCACTGAAGATGACTCCAGGTACATTTTCTGGAGAACTGCAGGTTGTGTTTAAGGCAGAGTCTTGGGTTTCATTTCATGGGAGATTATTTCGTATTTCATTCGCTTTAGCGTCCACCTCATCCTCTGTTGCATTCCTTATTTCTACATTCGTCTCAATAGAATTTGAGTGATGGGTCATAGTATTTTGTCTTATATCTAATTTTATCTTATCTATTTCTGTCTTTGAGAGTCTGTTGTTTCGCATGATGTCCCTACGGACATTGGCAAGCATGTTTGGATTGAGGTTAGGCTTATATCATTTCCCACCGTACTTCTCCATATTTGGTATGTTTGATTGGTGGTGTTCTTTTCTGGATTTTCGAGTTCAGTGAAGAAGGATGTCATGACTTGTCGATACTCTTCGCGGCTTCATTTCGTTCGTTTACTTTTTATTAGTCGATTTGGTATCGAGTCACTTGGTCTAAGGTTGGCAATAATTCGGGTTTGGTGACCTAGTGTCTCTTCGTGTGTCGAAGAGTTTGTTCCAGTGACAGACTTTTCGTCCTCAGACTGGTTCCTCTCTGAGGGACGCGGCCCTTGTTGTCCCGGTTGACGGCCGATCCGGTATGAAATATTATTCGTATTCATTGAAATTGGTAGAGACGCATTTTAACCTTGACCGCCAAGGGGTAATTATGTTCAGGTTACCAGCTTTAGGACGAGTCCCGAGGAAGATCCAAGAGCACACCCAAACAATGAGATTGTGGATTTATTAATATATCGAAGGTAGAATAGTTCATAATAGTGTATGGTATTCAGGGGGTAGACGATACTAAGTTTTAACTTAGTATAAGTCGGAGTGACCACTCCAAGGGGGATAATCACACTTTAGTATATAGACTTAAAAAAAAAAAAAAAAAAAAAAAAAACAGTGAAAGAGAAAAGGGAACTGAAAAGGAAAGAATTAACTTGAGTCAAAAGAATTTAGAATCATATCAAACAAGAGGAAAAGTATCATTCAAAAATGGTACATTTACCATTTCTTACAAGTTCGGAGCATGGCACAAGTGACTTTCCACAAATGTTCAATTTTCCGTCGCCAACGACAGATACTTATCAAATTTTATGGGGTAGGCTGGACTTATACTACAGATTGGTAGGGTGGAATATCAAAGAATTCATTAAACAAAGGGGTAGAAGCAAGGGAATAAAAGTTATACTTTTCCGGTCATCTCTCAACCTACTAGCCGCTAAAAGATATATTTTTAAATTTTCACTCAAAGACATGATAGTCAAAGGGCAGAGCATTGCAGGAAAATTACACCTGTAGCCATGAAAACAAAAAAAAAAAAATAAATAAAAAAAAAAAATTATTATTAATATTATTATTACTGTTATTGTTGTTGTGGGGCTCTCCCCTTTTTACATGAGATGGACTCGTCCAAAAATATACTTATACTGACAGAGAGAATACCTGCTGTTGAGAGACGTCGAGATACAGTCTCGACTTCTGCCGAACTCTCTGCTTTGGCAGAGAGGAACCCGGACGAAGCTTTGACGAAGGGCAAGGTTTCGTCCGGGGACGTAGACGAGCACTGAACCCGTCTAGGCGGGTTCAAGGGGTATATTTTTTGGCCGAACCTACGGGCTCGGAGAAACCCACTTTAAACTCGGCCTTGTGCCACATATATTTCTCGTGGGTGGGACATTAAATACTGAGATACGTTGAGATACGTGGAGATACGTTGAGACTGGTTGAGAGATACGGAGACAGACACAGAGTATTCTCAGAGAGTTATCCAAGAGTCCGGAGAGAGAGAGATGATTACGGCTTTACTTACAGAGACTTGTACATATACTTTCTACTAACCCGCATTCCTGGACTACTAATCTTCACTTCAAGTCTGTATTCTTACGTTTAATACACTTATTTTTTCTATCTCAATTACTGGCGTTGTTTATTTATTTGTGCAGGATTCCATTCACGGAATTATTATCGTTTCTACTTTTTCTACGTACATATAATTCATGACTAGTAGCGAAAGTCGATCATACGACTTCAGTGTCATATGAGTTGTTACATTGGTAAAAACCGTTTCCTACATTACGGTGATTTACTAAGCGTAGTTTAGTTGTGGCACAAGGCCGAAACTATGGGACACCCAGTGAGGATCAAACTCACTATTCAGTCGTAAGTGACCTCGCAAAACAATCTTGCTAACCATTAAAACAGTTTCCTACATAAGAAATATTTTCAGTCAAAAGCAAACTACCTATGTCCCCTGATACTTGTTACATCTGCATAGCATACAAACGTACATAAAACGAACGTAACTCCCCTTATCGGAAACACGAAGTAATTCAATATTTTTAATATATTTTTACCCTGTTCTTAAGAGATTTTGTAGTCAAAACGCTAATCTAAATATAGGTAAGAAGAATAAAAACGGTCACAACAGAAACAATTATGAACCTCTATCATCGGAGAGGTTCATAATTGTTTCTCTTGTTAGCGTTTTTTTATTATTCATCTCTCTCTCTCTCTCTCTCTCTCTATATATATATATATATATATATATATATATATATATATATATTATTTGATTTCCCAAGTGTATTACACCGAGGCTCGTTGGAACAGTTGGTATTACGTTTCTGCATTCTGTTGAGGTTTCTATCAGACTCGATGAATTAATTAAATATAATTATCAAATCCTCTTAATAATTTCTATCACTAATAGATAGATAGATAGATAGATAGATAGATAGTTGGTGCAAAGGAAGAGAAGAGGAACCGTTTCAAAGGGAATTTGCAGGTACGAGAAAAAAGCAAAGCGGACTAGAGATGAAACTCGGCTCTCTGATTTACAATTCAGAATGATTATGCATTACACCACCCGCACATCCAATCTAACAGATCCTGTTATTTCGAAGGTACTGAATGTTGCTTAAATACGGTGAAAGTATAAGAACAGGTGTTTCTCTCTGATATGGCAGTAAACGAATAGATTGATACGATCAAGAAACGGATAGATACATAGATAGCTAGCTAGCTAGCTAGCTAGCTAGATAGATAGATAGATATAGATATACTGAGATAGACAGATATGAAAAATGATTGGCTGATAGATAGACATGAACAGAACTATATATATATATATATATATATATATATATATATATATATATATATATATTAAATTAATTGATTTAAAATATGGTTTTTCCGCTACACAGTTCTAACCATGTTTCAAAAATAGAAGCTAAAAGCCCCGAATTTAATTTTTGCAATTAAATTAAAAGCATTAGTTCCATTTCATCCTCAAACGAATTTTTGCAAAATTAAATTCGGGGCTTTTAGCTTCTATTTTTGAAACATGGTTAGAACTGTGTAGCGGAAAAACATATTTTAAATCAATTAATTTATAATATTAATGCTCTGTAAATTTACATTGAGCACTATTTTGTAAAAATAAAATATCTATAAGAACACCGGATTATCTATCTTACTGTTCTTTCTTTTTATTTATATACATACATATATATATATATATATATATATATATATATATATATATATATATATATATATATATATTATTCTTCTTCTGAAAATTTTTTTTTTCTGAAAATATACATGTATGGGTATTTTTATATATTTTTATATGTATGTATATTTTCCACTAATATTATAGACATATATATATATATATATATATATATATATATATATATATATATATATATATATATTTGTGTAGATAGGTAGATAGTGAACAAGCTAATAGATAATAGTAACAAATTAAGATGGATAGATACATAGATGATAGTCGTAAATAATTCAGAAACTCAATTATTTCAGTGGTTATTTGGATACCGATTCAGATAAGTGTCTTTTTAAGGGTATTTTGTTTTGATATTCCTAAAATACTTTGGTATTTTCACTGGCCTTTATAGGTGAGTTGTTGTTTTGCTTGAAGAACGATTGAGCGCGACACTTGTTCACAAGAAACAAAGACAAGAGTCTCTGTTTGTTTTAGCACTTCGGATAACGATTGCCAACATGAATGTCACTTCATTCAGAATCACATCTGCTTGCATAATCCATACAATATTCTAGCACTATCTATCTATCTATCTATCTATCTATCTATCTATCTATCTATCTATCTATCTATCGCTTGATCGATTGGTATCTGTGTCAGTCTATTAGCTTGTTCATTTCTCAGGACCTTCATATCTGCATCTGTCACTATCTATCTATCTATCTATCTATCTATCTATCTATCTATCTATCTATCTATCTATCTGTGTGTGTGTTTTTGCTTATGTCTGCAAATATAAATGGATAATATTTTTCTCTGTATATACATGAATATATAAGGTATATAAAAAATTATGAATGAAAATTTGTTTTCAACGATGTATTCAGCATTTACTTATAAAACCTCATGACTCTGGGACCTTTTGCACACCATTATTAAATATTCTCCATGTTTATTTATATAGATATATTTACATAGATATATTTATATAGATGTAATTAAACGATATTTTATATTTAATAATAAATTATCTGTACACATTTATTTATATAATATTCTATATTTACACGCATATATACAAATGTTAACAATTATTTATATTTATGTCTGCATCTATCTACCTACCTATCTATATATAAATAAAATATTAATATGTATATTGTTAATATCTGTCTACTATGATTCTGTTCATATCTATTTGTCACTCATTGTTCATAAGTAACTCAGGTTTATATCTATCTATCTGAATTTTTAAATATCTATATGTCATTCTGTCTGTCTGTCTATCTATCTATCTATCTATCTATCTATCTATATATATATATATATATATATATATATATATATATTCTGCTTATATCTATCCGTAAGACCATCATTTTTCATATCTATCTCAGTATATTCATATCTATCTATCTATCTATCTATCTATCTATTTATCTATCTATCTAAATTCGTTAATATCTATCTGTTTATAATATTCTGTTAATATCTATTTTTCAGTCCATCATTGTTCATATCTAAGTATATTCATATCTATCTATCTATCTATCTATCTATCTATCTATCGCATTCTAGTCTTATCTATCTATTTATCTATCTATAACAGATTCAGTGGTTTATGAAGTTCTTCAATGAAAAGGACACAAAATAGATTTACCGTTTTGCATATAATTATTAATAAGTGAATCACAGGCTTATACATTCCAACACACACACTCATATTTTATATATATATATATATATATATATATATATATATATATATATATATATATATATTTGTTAATATCTATGTCTGTCTATCTATCTGTCAATCTAAATTTGTTAATAAATGTCTACTTCATTCTGTTTATATCTATTTGTCAGTCCATTGTTCATAAGTGTCTCTCAGTAGGTTTATATCTATCTATCTATCTATCTATCTATCTATCTATCTCTCTCTCTCTCTCTCTATATATATATATATATATATATATATATATATATATATGAAAGCCAATCATTTTTAATATCTGTCTCAGTATATTCATATCTATCTATCTATCTATCTATCTATCTATCTATCTATCTATCGCATTTCTATTCTTATCTATCTATTTATCTATCTATTACCTATTCAGTTGTATATGAATTTCTTCAATGAAAAAGACACGAAATAAATTTACGACTTTGCATATTACTATGAATAAGTGAAACCCAGACTTATACATTCCATCACACACACACTATATATATATATATATATATATATATATATATATATATATATATATATATATATATATGTCTGTGTGTGTAAGCTTTTCTGTATGTACATATCACGATATAAGTAGGCGTGCTGTATGGGCATTTTTCGTCCTTTTTCTTCCTGCTCTCAGAGTGACCTTTGTGTTTTCACGTATGCAGTGGAGTCTTTTACTTTTCATTTATTTTTTTACAACATTTTCTGACCAGCAAAGAGCACTAGAAAAAGAAAAAAATATATCCACTCGCCAAAGAAAATTGGAAAATAACAGTTTCTTTTTTTTTTCTTCTACTCTGAAAAGCCTCACGGCAAATGACCTTTCTTGGCTCATTTCAATAAAGACACCGATAATTTGTTAGCGTATTTACCAGTCGATATATTTCTGATATCTGTTGGCCACTGTCAGATTTGGCATCATTTTTACACGAAATGGCAACGATGATTTTATTACAAATTGCTTTCACGACCAACCCACTACGGTGTTACAAAGAGGCACTCGCTAGATTTCTTAAACGACGTCATTCTTAACATATATCTACTCTTTCAAAAGTTTATAAGTTCATCAATTGATTCACTGTATTCCACACAAGTCGAATACGCGGGTTCTTTGTAACATCGTGCGTGTAGATTTGGTTTGGTTTGGTTTGTTTTGTTTTACGGCATATCAACCTCAATGGGTTATTTAATGCCGACAAAATTTTTATTGCTGGTAATCTTTTGTTTTGTCAAAGATCTATTTCTGGTAATATTTTTTCTTCAAAAATGTATTGCTAGTAATATTTATTTTTTTAAAAAAAAACATTGTTGGCAATATTTTTTCAAAAATATATTGCTGTTAATAGCTTTTTTTTTCTTCAAAAATTTATTGCTGGTAATAATTTTTTTACAAAGTATTTCTGGTATTAAAACCTATATTTACACTTTCGTAGTATTTTTACCCCAGTTTAGGAGTTAACTATTTGCCCATAGCTGGGACCCTATACTACCACCCCGGGTCAGGGTGGACCTGAAAACATCAACAATTAAGAAGTGGTTTCACGTTTATCAAAACTTCCTGATCAGAGGCCTTGCTGCTGGACGTAGTTTATCGTCTTACCCAGGACGCCGAATGTAGTTTATCGTCATATCCAGGACGAATCGTGTGTGCGTGGAATAGAGAGTAATACATCAAGTTTATGGATAAAAACAAAACAAAACAAAAAACAGAAGTACTGATCTAACTAATAAACGGAAGCCTACGTATTTAGAAACCTGTGGTGTTTCTGAAATACGGCATAGTTTATACGGTCATCAGATGTTCGCAAGTCAGAGTTTGGAATTGGCGCCGGACATTACAAAAGAGAAAAAGGAGATTAAACCGGTGGTGGGATGGAAGCATCTTCTTGTATGTGGCGTGTACTTTCAGGACTTTGGTGATCATGGTTCTCCACAACATTCTGCCCTTTGTAGCTCTCAAAAATTTTTATCTTTTTGCTATCTCTTCCAAACCACGCTGCCCCAAAACATTCACTCAAGCTCCCTTCACGACTTTTATTTGTAAGTCATGTGGTGTTTACTTCTGGACTTCTTGCCTTCAATCTCTCCTGTGAGTATCAGATTTCCTAAGCCCTCTTTCTTCATTACAGAATGGCGGGATGTATTACTTTTTTTTAATGTGAATGAACGAATTAGCAGTTAACAACATTTCTTGATTAAAGGAAGTCTTCTTTCCAAAACATTTAACGATGTTCATAACAAACACGCAGGCTTCAAACACTCAGAACCTTTTTCTCCTTCACTGAAGTGGTCGGTAAAAATTATTTACTAAGGAGAATAAAAACAGCCAATACAAACTATATGCATTGCTTTATTTGGTGCTACAAGAAAAAAAAACTTTCTCTTGATGGAAAGCCGTCGCATTTGATTTTCGATAAGTGACAGAATCAGTCCAACTCGGGTATATGAATCTCATCAAAACCGTGGAAATTAAATCAGTGACTCGGCCTACTACTAAACATCGAGAGTGGTCGCCAAAAACATTTCATGTCACATTCCCAACCACATATGATGCTGTGAGAATGTCACATATTTCGTCATTATCTGGAGCAAATAAAGATTGATACAAGACCCTAAACTTAAAATTTTCAACAAGTGGTTACATCAATTACTTTGCGAGAAGTCCACAGCCCTAATTACGGTTACACATCCTATTCGTATGGAATGAAGGATTTAATGAATATCATTACTCTCCACATTTTTCTAACCCCTGTCTTTTGAACGGAAGTATTTTATTTACTATGTTTTTCTCTCTCCTCAATTGGAGTAGATATATTCGCCTATCGCTCGGTTCACGCTCCTTTCTGGGCTTTTCAACAAGATTGGGGGTTTATCTCTTGTTCCCGGTTTAGGATTGGGTTTCCGGTTCCTTTTCAAGTCTACGCCAACTCTATTTATCTAACTTCTCTGTCTGAAATTTTATATACTATTTTTTTCTCTCTTCTCCATTGGAATAGATAGGTTCGCTTATCATCAGGTTCACACTCCTTCACGTTGTTTTGAACAGGAGTAGAGGTTTATCCGTTGTTTGGAATCAAGTTTCTGGTTCCTTCTAAAAACTTTTCATTCTTTTTTTTAGTTCTAGTTACTCTTTGCATCTTAGCGGTGTCGTCGTCTTGCCTGGAGCGAATTGATTAAAATTTAAAAAAAGATATATCCATAAAAGGTGTCTGTTACTACGTGTTGTGGAGTGATTTCACAGTAGAGGCTTGTATTTGTACTAAACCGGTCCTAAAATAGGTTCGACGTACAAGACGTTGGGAACTTGATATAATAGGTATAACGCAGAGTAATCTTGTTGTGGTCGCTGATACTTTCGTATTCGACTAACTGTCGTCCAACATCGACTAGTATTTAGTCACCCCCCCACGAGGGTATCATGTGGCACAAGGCCGGTTTAACGTGGGCATTCCGAGCCCGTGGGCTCGGCCAAAAATATGCCCATTGAACCCGTATAAACGGGTTCAGAGTCGGTTTACCTCCTCGAACAAGACTCTGCCCTTCGGCATAGCCTCGTTCGGGTTCCTCCCCGCCCGAAGGCAGAGAGTTCAACCGTTCAGACGGTCGTCCGACATCGACTGACCGTCGTTTCTCTTACTACTCCTACTTATATTAGGTGGGAGACTCTATTAACTATAGAATAGGTGTGTTTCACCATAACACTATGTAACCCTCTACTTCGAGTGGTGTTTGGCCTTGTACAATGTGAACATCATTGTAAAAAAAAATATTTTGTTGCCCTAAATAATCAGGGCTTGAAGTATAAACCTGCGAATACCTTTTTGTATGACACATACAAGAGTTTTGGTGAGTTTTCAACGCAAACAGATAAGAAAATGTAGCACAACAAATCGGATTGATTCACAAAATATAGAGAACATAAGAAAAGAAAACAACTATGTCCCCCACTGAGGTTTCAAATCGGAAGTCTTTGGAAGTTTTAAAAGGTCACTATCATACGAGTTTTCATCGGTGCACTTGATGTGGTGACTGGAAAAGCAGAGACATGGATAAAGAAAATTAACATTGATTGACCAGCAGGCGTTTTACAGAAAGGAAGCCTCTTATGAACGGCAAAAATAATGCGGCAACGAATAAACAGTTAGTGGCAAGAGAAAATTAAACAATCCCTAAGGCTGCTGGTTTTGGCCAGCTAGCTATGCATTAATTACCAGTTATTAAGATCTTATCTGAGAAAATCGTCTTCTTTATGTGTCGTGCGCCCGCAGGACGTAGGCGATAATGGCTCTCCAAAATTACTTGTCCCTTGCAGCATTTAATAAATATTGTATTTTTATTATTATTCCTAAACCCTGTTCAACGATCCGTTTAAGTTCATCAAGTATATTATGTTCTGTTTTCCTTTGATCCTCTTATCCTCATTCGCTCCTGTGCGTATCAGATTTTCCAAGCCCTCTTTCCTCATTACGTGCTCCAGAAATATAAACTACCTCTTCCTGATGTTAAGTTTAAGTTTCATTTTTGTTTCCATTTTCTCTAAGACCTCATCGTTGCCCACATGTTCGGTCCATGGTATCCTCAGTATCCTTCTGTAGAACGACATTTCTGTTGCTTCAAGTATCTTCTTCAGTTTTCAGCATGATAATAATAATAATAATAATAATAATAATAATGGTGTTTTACAAAATATAACAAAAAATTAGAATAATAAAACAAAATTTAAACGCTAATATGGGAATACATTTTCAATAATAATCGTATTATGAAAAAAAAATAAAAATCAGTTTCTATTAGTTTGAACTTTTAAGCTGGCACAAATACATTTATGGAAGACGCGCAAAGAAAATAATGATGTCTTTTTTTTGCGGGGGGGAAACTAATTCTGCAGTTTCTTTAGAATCGGTCGAAAAATAATTTTTATCAAACGTAAGGAACAACTTATTGGTACCGAAATCTCTATGTTTTTTTTTTCACCCCCAGGCAAGGCGATAATTTCACTAGAACGCACGTAGTTAAGAGGGTGAAAGCCAGAGAAATTGAGAAGACTGAGAATGGGAAGGATTGAGGACAAAGGGACCAAAAACGGAACAAAGTTAAAGAAGAAAGAAAATGACGATTGACGTTGCATTTAAATTTTTGAAGATTGTAATTATCAGCGGAACAAGAAATCGAAAGGGAGTTCCGCTGTCGAGAAGAGCAAGAAAAGAAACGGTTGGAGCAGAAGTGGTAGTTGTATTTAAGTATTTCATCATTAAAAGGGTGGGGCCTAGATGTCAACCTAGTATCACGCTTAAAATCATGTAGAAGGGTCACCAGGGAAAAAAATCTCATCAGAACAGTTGTCATGATAATATTTGTAGAAAAGACAGAGAGAAGCCACA